CAGCTATTTTACCCCTGCTTTATGATTCTAAGTCTTTGGTGAAATACTAAAATGGCAGTAATTTTAGAGCATAATTCATGATTGTTATTTAACAGATGACTCTTCACTCAGGAATTAATTATGGACTGCTTTCTACATTTATGAACCTAGTGGTAGTTATCAAGCATATTCAACATTTAAAAATTCCCAAGATTATGTTTTGTGGTCAGAAATGGTCAGTGAAAAGTAAAAAAATATATAAACAAATGCAACTGTTTTGAGTGCCTACTGTGTGCTATGCTTTACACACAGTACCTTATTAATCTTCCTAACATTTTTCTCCAGATAAAAGTATTGTTCCCACTTTCTAGATCTAACTGTGACTGGAGTTACACATTCAGGGAAGTTGAATACAAATCTGTAAAACTCTAAAACCCTTAATGTTCTTTTCATTAGGACGCTGGTAAAGTGGGAACCCACAGTGTTTCTGAGGAGATGCCCTTATTTTGTTCCTCAAGAAATGCGGTATTTCTATAGTAGAGAAATGAGGAGAAAGAAGATGAAGTTTGGGTGAAGTTCTCCCTATCAAGGTTGTGGGAAATCCTGGAAATTAATAAGGTCTTACTGGGCAGTACCATCCTTTTTTGTTGTTGTTGTTATTTTAAAGGGGTAAAAATAAATCAAAGTCAGTTCCATTTAAGGTAGTTATGGGGAGTGCATTACTTGACATTTGGCTTACTAATTGAATGTTTAAATTTTAGCTGCTCCTCACAGCTACTATTTTTTTTTTAATCCTCACCCAGGGACATTTTTTTTTATTGCTTTTAGAGAGAGAGGAAGGGGGAGAAAGAACATCGATGCAAGAGACAGGCATCGATTGGTTGCCTCCCGGAGCGCCTGGACCAGGGATCAAACCCTCAACCTAGGTATGTGCCCTGACCAGGGATCAAACCCGCAACCCTTTGGTCACGGGAGGATGCTCTAACCAACTGAGCCACACCAGCCAGGGCCACATATATTTTCCATATACCAACACATTCCTCTTTTCCCCTCCACCACACCAGTTCTTTGAATGACCCAGTGTGCATCATTTTAGGTCAGTGAGCCATGCCTCTGCCAATAGTTGAGTTTAAGCTGATTGTGAGGCAGGCATAATGTCTGTAGTGAGTAGCTCATCTGTTCATGATTGGCCTGTAGTAAATTTTGTTCAGACATTTTGTGGCTGAGTCAGACCACTTTTGTCTACCAGGGTGCACATAACTGGTATATGTGCATGGCGAGTACACAATCTACAGTTAACTAAAGTTCTTGTTTCTTAAATTGCCTTTATTTAGTGTCATGGGAGTACAGATCCTACATAGAGACCAGGTCTGTTTTGCTCACTGTTGTACTCAGGCACATCATGGGCATTTAATGATGAATGAATGAATAAATATTTTGACCAAAAATACACCTTAAGAATCCATTCCATTGTATTTGTAACTATAAAACTTAGACCCATCATAAAATTAATTTCTAATGTTTGCCTTCCTTCATTGACATTGACAATAAAGAATGAACATACGTGGATAGCCCCCGAGAATAGACTTACTCTGCTCTTTCCTCCAGCCGGTTAAATCAGCTTACCTTGTACCTTTCAGGCAGAACCCCGACATCTATAAATACCCTCTTCCCTGTTTAGCAAATGCTGGTAATCCTGTGATCCCCTGTCCTGAGTAGTTGGGTTAATAGGATGCTGTATTGTATTTGAATGTGTCTTGCCTGGACCGTGCTTGAGATGCCATTTATCATTTCTCTGGAAGAAGATATTAGCTGAACTTTCCATTTCTCTGTAATTTCACTTAAAGGTGAAGCAGGTGAAGTCATTGCTTCTCAATGAGGAACCCATTAGAAATGTAGAAGTCTTGTCTTTTATACCATTAGGTCAATAAAGTTTAGCTATAGTTGGAATGGTTTCTTTCTTTTTTTATGTTTAAATAGTTTTTTAAATTTTCCTTTTTTTATTGCTGTTCAAGTATAGTTGTCTCCATTATTCACTCCAGCACTCCCCTCCCCACCCGACCCATCCCCGCCTCCACCCTCGAACCCACCCCAGAATGGTTTCGTTCTCATCTGTGTTTAGTTTCTCTCCTTTTAAGATGAATAGAAAGTATACTTTTCTTTTATTTTTAATTTTTATTTATTGACTTAGAGAGGAAGGCGGGGAACAAAAGAGAGAAACGTCAATGTGTTGTTCCACGTATTTATGCATTTGGTGGTGGATTCCAGTGTGTGCACTGACCAGGAATCGAACCCACAACTTTGGACTATCAGGATGACACTCTAACCAACTGAGCTGCCTGCCAGGGCTTTACATTTTTCTTTTAATTATCCAATGTCAAGTTGAACGAGTATGTACAAAGTCTCAGCCTGCAGAAAGCAATATTTTTATTTACTAATTTTTTAAAGAAGAAATACATGAGGAAAAACCAAAAACATTCATTTCGAACCTTGAAAACATTTTGTAGAAAACAAACCTTCTTTCACGATTTCTATACTAGTAAATAATACATGAGGAGAACTGTACCTGTACATTGTTTAACGTACTGATGGGATAAAGTCCAGTTGTTTTAGAATTTTACTGGAAAGGTAATGAGGACATCTAGTCAGGAGCTCAGGAGGAGCACAGTATGTTTTCCCTGTTCTCAGCCCTTTTGTATCACCAGTCCTCTGAGGATCTCAGGATTCTAATTTTAACTGCTCTGAAAGGTGGTATTGTAAATGAGTGATTGCAATGCAGCTAACAGAAGCCAGGGAGACTTCTCATAAATATAGTTTCAAAAAGGTATGGTGTCAAAGTATTCAAGGCCAGAAAAGATGAAAACGAAAGAAATGTAATACCTTTAAAGGGGAAAAAAAGACCTATTTTTGTTTGTTAGTTTCGGGTCTATTCAGCCTCTCTTCCCCAAATCTTTTGGTATAGAATTTGTCTTTCTGTTTTATTTTTTATTTATTTATTTATTTTTAGAGAGGAAAGGGAGGGAGAAAGAGAGACAGAGAGAGAAACATCAATGTGCGGTTGCTGGGGGTACATGCAACCCAGGCATGTACCCTGACTGGGAATCGAACCTGCGACACTTTGGTTCGCAGCCCACACTCAATCCACTGAACTACTCCAGCCAGGGCTTGTCTTTCTGTTTTTAACCAAAATCTTCCATTTTATTTCTGGAAAAATTTGAGGCATATAGAGGTTAATGTGGTTCTTAGCAAGTCAATGCAAATACAGTACTGGGAATGATAAACAAAGCGTCTCTGAGGAGAAAGGAATTCTTAATAATTATACATATTTGCATATCATTGTCCAAAGACTGTTGTTGAGAATTATTTTCCAGAATTATTATTTGGCCTTAGTGAACAGACTGGTTTGAACTATTTCCTGGTACAATGCAGATAAAAAATATAACCATTTTATATAATTCTAAGACTCAGTTTGAAGGAATTTCTGCTTGAGCTGGGAGATTAGATTAAATGCCATTTACAATATGGGATTCTTTGATTCTTGTTGTAACCATGCCTCATTAGAACAAATTGTCAGATGCAGGACAGAACAAGTAACTCTCTTATAAGATTTTTTTATAAGATCTTTCTTACGTTCTTAGATAAAAAGCAACCTGGTTAATTTCCACCCATAAAAATTAATCATAATAAAAGCAAGAAACAGAAATATTAGGTCACTGGTCAAAAATGCCAGGATTGAATTTTGATTTTTCTTCATTAGTGACTTTTAAGTTCCCTAACTTCTCTGTTTCGTCAAATTCTGAAAAACAGATCGTACCTACTGTGCACCTGTACTCTAAGGGTCCAATGAAATCCAGACAATGGTAGAGTACTTTGAATGATGAAGTCTCAGTTGTTTTTTTTTTTCTCAAAATTTTATTTATTGATTTATTTAGAGGGAGAGAGAAGGAGAAACACAGATTTGTTGTTCCACTTATTTATGCACACTACTGGTCGATTCTTGTATGTGCCCTGACCGGAGATCGAACTCGCAGCCTTGGTGCATCAGCATGATGCTCTAACCAACTAAGCTGAGCTACCTGGTCAGGGCTGACTGAATGATGGTTTTAAACTTGAACAAAGCCTAGATATAATTTCATACAACTTTTTTGTATTTCTTTGTATAGCACCTTTATATCTTACATTTACTTGGGTGGATACTATTATCTAGTATCTATCAAACAAGTGCCAGGTATGTGGGAAACAGAAGGTATAGTGTTTACCCGCCAGAAATTTCACGCTAGTAAAGGAGGAGAATACTGAAGTCAATTACTTATAGCCAGATACGATGAGTGCTGTAGTCTAAATTTATAAGAAGGGCTTTGGAAACACGAATTAGATAGTGGCTTATACTCCCAGGGGCCTGGGGTGACTAGTAAACTGGATTAATAGGAGGAGCAGGAGTAAGCCGTGCTATTTATTAAGTTGCTGAATTTATTAACCTACTTCTGCCAAAACTTAGAAGGGGGAAGCAACTGAAATAAGTGGCGTTAAAGTAGAAAATAATAACAATTGTGCTCAACCAAGAATTTTTTCAAGGAGAAGAGACTGATATTCAATAATAATCAACGTTAGTGCCCCCAAAGTAATCTTTCTTGTGGTTGTTCAAGGGCTTACTCTCAATTCTGCGTAAATTGAAAAGCGCACCAGACCAGGAGGTGAGACTCCTTCTCCTGGGCTTGGACAATGCTGGCAAGACCACCCTTCTGAAGCAGCTTGCATCTGAAGACATCAGCCACATCACGCCGACACAGGTGAGCACTGCCTCGGCCCCAGGTGCTTGTGGGACATGTGGGAATGATAACAGCAACACGAAACACAAAATGAGAAATACGGTTTTGTCCACGTCTAAGTTTTGTTACTGAGAAAAGTCTGTACTGTTTAAAAGCAATCTTAAGATTCATTAAACATTTCAAGAGATTCCAGTCATATGAGATACTTAGACTAGTTGAGTACATACAGACAGAGACGGTGGGGGTAGTTACCGTTTAGTGGGCTTGGCGTCAGTGTTGCGAGATGGAAAAGTTCTGTGGAGGACGGTGATGGCTGCGCTACAGCGTGACTGTGCTTACCGCCACTGAACTGTGTGGTTAAAATAGTAAATTTTATTTTATGTATACTTTATAACTTTTAAAATAAATAATTTAAATAAATATGTATGAATACCTATGTCAAGACAAGCAGTTCCCTCTGATCTAAGTAATTGCTGTTTTAAATTTTGTTATTAATTGATTGATTTTAGAGAGAGAAACATCGATTGTTGTTCCACTTATTTTTACATTCATTGGTTGATTCTTGTGTGGGCCCTGAGCCGGGATCCTACCCGCGCCATTGGTGTGTGGGGACCACGCTCTAACCAACTGAGCTACCCCACCAGGGCCTACGTGGTTCCTTTTTAAAAATAGCTTTATCACCCTGACTGGTGTGGCCCAGTGGGTTGGGCATCACCCTGCAAAGTGCAGGGTCGCTGGTTTGATTCCCTGTCAGGGCACATGCCTGTGTTGAGGGCCACGTCCCCCGTTGGGACGTGTGTGAGAGGCAGCTGATGGGTTTTTCTCTCCCTCTCTTTGTCCCTCCATTCCCCTTTCTCTAAGAATAAATAAATAAAATCTTTTTTAAAAATAGCTTTATCTTCTCTGATTATGAAATTATTTCATGTAGAAAACTCAGAGAAAGTATAAAGGAGAAAACCAAAGAGTACTGTGAGAAAAGCCACTGTTAATATTTTAGTGTATATTTTTCAGACTTAATAAATACAAATATATATATATATCAATATATATATATATCAATAACAAATATATATATCAATTTTTTAAATAAAAAAACAATTACCTATATTTTTAATCCAGCTTCATCAACGCTCCTCTTTCCTAAGGCTAAGCAAGACAACACAAGGGTAAGGCAGTGGTGGTGCTGGTGTTGCTCGCTGTCTGGAAGTTGAAAGACAGGTCCCAGTGGGAAGAACTCTAGTCTGTTCCTTTAGACCTCCTTTCCTGTGGGAAATTCTGAGAAAGCTCGACCTTCCGCCAGGCCTTTGGGTTTCCTAAGGAGGGAGAGCCCTGTTGGGCTTAGTCACTTGAAAGTGTTTGACCAGTAGAGGTTTTAGCAAACCCAGGGTTACTTAGCATTTTCTGTGGCCACGGTGTGATAAGAGCTTCGGTGGGGTTTCAGTGGCTGTGCTGGTGTGTGTACTTCGTGGCCTACAAGTCTTACTGACCCAATAACCTTTGCAGAAAAGTGAGCAATTTTACAACTTCTGAACGAATCTAATGTGTAGCCTAAGGAGGAGCGTGTTACAGTAGGCTAGCCCAGAAGGGCCGAAACTCAGATAAGTGTGTGAGGGTTTCTGCCAGAAAAAGAAGGGCTAACTCTTTTTTTTTTTGGGGGGGGGGGTGATTTGTGCATCTCCAGAACACCACTAAAATAGGACTTCCATGCTGCAAACATGGAAATGAACTCAAAGTTATGGACCCAGAGTTCCAATTCTAGCTTCCTAGCTTTGTTTGATGTGTTGTAGGTGGTTCTTACAGTACCGGGTAGAGCAGAAGTAGGTGGTTTACAGTTGTTCTTGTGGACAATAGTACAAGAATAAACTTTTGTGTACTCACAACTGTAAACCTACTTTTGCCCCACCCAGTACTATGTCAAGACTTCATATTTATTTTTTAAAAACAAACTTTTAGTGTGTTTTTGTTTGTATATTAGAAAAAGTAATAGATGCTCATTATAGTAAATTTAGAAATCTTTAAAAAGTAAAATTGAGAAACTGAAAATCACCTATAATGTCCACTCATACATAACCACTATTAACATTTAGTTATATACCCATTCACTTTTTTCTGTGCATATATATGATGGGCATATTTAAAATAAATTAAAAAGGCTTATGGTAAATATGCTGTTTATGTTGAACATCTTTATATGTTGTTATAAATACTAATGCAATATATCTCTCTAAATGTTTGTATCTACTCATTATTTCCTTAGAGTATTTCTTAGTAGATTGGGTCTGATGACTTAGTAGAACTTGAAGGCAATTGGTACATATGGTTGAATTCCAGGATTAACTCTTATTTATTCCCTGCTTCATTTCAGAAGGATTTGATGTTACCAGTCTTGACAATTACTATTGTAGTTATGTATAGAATTTTTAAGCTCACAAAAGTGATTCTGCCAATGAGTCAGAATGAAGTAGTCTTTTACAATAAAGCCTAAGTCACTTCCCTTTACAACTCTTAAACCTCTAATTTATTTAGTCATTGCGCTTTAGAGGCATTGCGGTCAGCATCGCCCGCAGTCACTCTCCAGGGACTGTTTATGTATCCTCAGGGGAAGTCGGGCGGCAGTGTTCCTGTGCCGCGGCACCGGTCCTCGCCCGTCTGTGCTGGGCAGCAGTGTTGGCGAGCCACCGGAGGAAGCCGTGCTCCTGGAGGCACCCCCAACGCACTCACCTCCAGTTATTCTGGGGGAAATGGGCCACTGTGGGAGCACATTGTGGGAGCACACTGTGGATTGGGTTTTTCAAATCCTGATTTCACTATTATCATTTTTGCAGGAATATTTTTTTTATTCTTGCTCATGAAATGCCTTCTCTCGGAACCCCAGCGTTCTTGTTAATTTGTTTCTCTGCTCACTAACTCCCAGCTCCCAGCTCTGCCTGCCTCTGATCTGCTCACCTTCCACAGGGTTCCACCTCGAGCGATGGTCCTGAAAATGAGTACTCTCCTTTCAGGTTCATCAGAGATACCAACTAAAGAACAGCTGCCAACGGCTGCTTGCTTGTTTGTTTGTTTGTTTTCGTCACTGCCTGTAATTGAGGGCTCCACTTCAGAGTTCGAACACGTTCCAGCGGCCCCGCCTTCCTCACGGGTCCCTAATCCAGTCATTCCCCAGCCTCCCTCACAGTGTCCTGAAATCAGCGCCTTCCATTTCCTGAGTAATCCACGTGAGGACATTCCTGTATTAATTGTGAACCACTCCTAAAGAATCCAGTCTTCCAGATTGTAGCTTTTGCCTTTGGTCTGTTCTGTTGAGGCTTCAGATCCAGCTTTGGTTGTTTTGTCAGTTACATGTAGTGTCGTGTTAAATTTCTCCATCCTGAGGACTCATCCGGGGTGTGGTCTGTGCTACCAGAACTATTCTCGCACCAAGTTGTCCTCAGCAGGCGTGTGTGTGTGTGTGTGTGTGTGTGTGTGTGTGTACTCATTATGGAAAGCACATCATGGTAGCCATGATATTATAACCCTGACTCCACCACCTGAATGAAATATGCACGTGTAAACACAGCTCTTTCTTCCCTATCATAGCAAACTGTTTTCAGTATTACCGGTGTCACATCTGGCAGAGCACCTCAGAATTCGTAAATAACATAGCTGTCAAATATAACTACATCAAAATTATGATCCTGAAGCTTAGTAAAACTTGGTGTTTTTGCCTTTCTCTGTTGCAGGGTTTTAACATCAAGAGTGTGCAATCACAAGGTTTTAAACTGAACGTATGGGACATTGGCGGGCAGAGGAAAATCAGACCATACTGGAGGAATTATTTTGAAAACACTGATATTCTCGTAAGTACTCCTTTTGATGCATTAATTCGCAGTCTTTTCTGCCACGTTAGGAACATGAACACTGTAATGCGCCTTCTTGTCAGTAATCCCATTGCCATAACATTAATCACCATAAATTTAGGGCTAGCGGAAGGCTCCAGACCATGAGGGAGAAACCTCTTTGTTTACTATACTATAACTTGTATAATGTTTTGCTGTTGCTCAGTAACAATGCTGTGCCCACACCCGCCACAGCAAATAAAGTATTTATTGATTACTGTAGTGATTTGAACAACAGAAGGGAAGTCAAAAGATTGTGCCACTAACTTTGTCATTTTAACAAATCAAATGTATCCCACCCTGAGCAATGGAAGTAGAGTGAGCCCTGGAAACAGCGACACATAAGGAATGCTTGAAAGACCTGACGATGTCCTTCCTGGACGAGGAAACACTTGTAACTGTCTTCAGTTGCTTTGAGAACTGTTTTAAGTCAGAGAGATTAGCTGCAGTATAAATATTTCTAAAGCAGTAGGCAAGGAGCAGTTTGGTGAGTATTAGGTGGTAGAGATGAACTCAGAATAAGGAAGAAGTTCCCTATAATTGTAACTGTCCAGAGTTAGGAGTTGCTGCCTCACGCGTTGGGGATTCCCTGGCAGAGGTGGCCTTTGTTCAGGCAGACGCTGGAACATTAGCTCCCAGCTCCCTGTCACGTTCTCCAGGGCTACTGTTTCAGAATCCTTAGAGATTTCACTGTCCAGATGCATGATTTCTCCAGTACCTCAGCCTCTCGTCCTTGTTTCTCCAGTGATCTTGTCATTCACCCTGTCTTAGCCCCTTGCTCTCCTGCTCACACCCTAAAACTAGGGGCTCTCAGGAACTTGGATAGGAAAAAAATTGCATTATTATTTTCACTGACTTTGAGCTGGAAGTTTGCATTTATTTCAGTTGTGACCATAGACGGTAAACTGCACTGTCAGCCACACCTGTGTCTTCCTTACCTGCAGGGATCATCCTGCCTCTCAAATAACTTCAGCCTGCTGCTGCTGCCTACATGCCTCTTCCCACTGCATCTCTTTCCGCTGCATCGTTCCTATCAGCGCGTGCCCCTATCCTGTAGTTTCTCTTGTTTAAAAAACAAAAACTTGTCCCAGCACTGTACTCCCCTCTAGATACCGTCCCGTTCCTCAGCCTCTCTTTACAACAGAACTCCTTAGGGGAGTTTTCTGTACTTTCCGTCTTCCCTTCCTCCCCTCCCGGCCTCACAGAACCCTCCATGCTGGCTCCCGAGGAGTTCCACGTTGCCAAGTCCCACGTTCAGTGCTCAGTGCTCATCTTACTTGACCTGTCAGCACATTTAGCAAAGTTGGGATGCCGTCCTTGAAGCATTGTCTTTCCTCGGCTTCAAGAATTCCATTGTCTCGGTTTTCCTCCCATCTCACTGGCTCCTCCTCCTCCGTCTCCATTGCTGTAGTTTTCCTCATCTCCTAACATCCACAGGTTGGCCGGAGCACCCTCACGGTTCAGGCCTGTGCCT